GGGAGGTCTCCCCGGCCCTGCATGCCCCCTGCCCCATGGAGCTGGGCCCCGGCCCCGGCCCCGGCTTTGAGGAAGTGCCTGGCTGAAATGGGGAAGAAAGCTCAGAGCAGCGCCCAGCCGCCTCTGCAGCCTCTGGCCCAGGGCAGGGCCCGGAGACGCCCCCAGGAACCAGGGTCTGGGCTCCCCCAGATCCTGGGGAGCGTTTTCCTTCATCCAGGAGCCGGGGCTGCTCCGCTTTTGCAGCAGTCGCCAGCAGCCCTGCCCCTGCCCCTGCCCCTCTCCGTGGCCCCAGGCGGGAGCTCAGGGGCACTTGGCTTCCACCTGGGCGGGTTTCTGCACCCACGCCCCCTGCGCAGCAGCCCCAGGGCCTGTGCGGGAGCAGGGGGAAGTGCAGGTTTCGCTCTGAGCACGCCCAGCTGTGCCCCTGTCTCAGGGATTTCCCTGCTGCTCCTCCCTGTATGCTGGGGTAAGCAGGAGGAGGCCCAAAAGCTCTTCCTTCCCCTTCTGCCCCCCAGCTTGTGTTGGCACCACATTCAAACCATGCGATGGACAGGGTGAGCGAGGTGTGGGCTGTCCCTGAGCAAGCCAGGGAGCCCGGCCAGCTCACACTGCACTCAAAACCCACCCGGGGGGCACATCACATCCAACATGTCTAAGCCCAAGCAGCCCAGCTGGAAAGGCCGTGCCCAGCCGACCTCCTTGCCTTGCGGCTGCGTGGCCCAGGCGGTGCCTGAGGGGACCCTGCCAGACGGGTCACCAGTGCAATAGGTGCTGGTCTGGCAGTAGCCTGACCCCGACACGGCCGCCTTCCTGGCCAAGCTGGCCCCAGAGAGGAGCCTGGACGTGCTGCAGACCCTGGCGCTGGGTGCAGATGAAGCTGGGCTCAGGCTGGCAGCTCTGGGTCCCCGCTGGGGATGTCCTGCTGTGGGACCTGGGCTTTCAGCTCCATCCCTGTCACCGTGCTCAGTGGTCCTGGATAACCGGAGGTGTCTCTTGCCCATATTGGATGAAGGCTGGGCTTGTGCAATGCCAGTCACCTGCACGTGGCACTAGCACAGCTGCCCCAGGAGGACATCCTGGAGGGGATGCACACCCAGGTGCTCTCCCCCAGGCCGGCTGGCTGCCCCCACAGCTGTGGGCCTGTGGTCGCTGGGACCGCGTCTGCCCACAGCCATTGCTGTAGCAGAGGCTGCAATGGAACAGCCCCAGCGGCGCCAACCGTCCACCGGTGCCTGTGGGCTCCTGCTTCCTGGCGCCGTAGCCTCGCCTGGGCCTGCGGCTGGTGCTACCAGGAAGGCTGATGGCAGCCTCCCGGGCCCTGGTGATGCCCTGGGGGAGGGAGCTGCAGCTGGGGGTGGGCGTGTATGTGCGTTTGTGGTGAGTGCTTGCATTGTGTGTGTATGTGCCTTGTGTGTGGGTGGGCATGTGCAGTGTGTGTGCATGTGTGTGTAGGTTATGTACAGTGTGTGTGTGCTTGCAGGGTGTGCATGTATGCAGTGTATGTGTAGTGTGTGCTTGTGATGTACGTATGTGCTTGCAGAGTGTGTGTGTATTCAGTGTATGTGTGCTTGTACAGTGTGTATGTGCTTGCAGGGTGTGTGTGTATGCAGTTTGTGTGTAGTGTGTGCCTGTGATGTGTGTATGTGCTTGTAGGATGTGTGTGTATGCATTGTATGTGTAGTGTGTGCTTGTGGTGTAGGTATGTACTTGCAGGGTGTGTGCGTATGCAGTATATGTGTAGTGTGTGCTTGTGATATGTGTATGTGCTTGCTGAGTGTGTGTGTATGCAGTGTATATGAAGTGTGTGCTTGTGATATGTGTATGTGCTTGCAGGGTGTGTGTGAATGTAGTGTGTGTGTGGTGTGTGCTTGTGATTTGTGTGTGTGCTTGCAGGGTGTGCATGTATGCAGTGTATGTGTAGTGTGTGCTTGTGATGTATGTATGTGCTTGCAGGGTGTGTGTGTATGCAGTGTACGTGTAGTGTGTGCTTGTGCAGTGTGTATGTGCTTGCAGAGTGTGTGTGTATGTAGTGTGTGTGGTATGTGCTTGTGCAGTGTGTATGTGCTTGCAGGGTGTGTGTGTATGTAGTGTATGTGTAGTGTGTGCTTGTGATTTGTGTATGTGCTTGCAGGGTGTGTGTGTATGCAGTATATGTGTAGTGTATGCTTGTGATTTGTGTGCATGTGCTTGCAGTTGTGTGTGTGTGTGGTGTATGTGCAGTGTGTGCGCACTTGTGTGTGCGCATGTGTGCATGGTTTGTGTGCACTTGGAGTGTGCATGTGTGTAGTTTGTGTGGTGTATGTGTGTGCTTGCAGGGGGTGAGTGTGTACGTGCAGTGTCTGTGTAATGCATGTGCTTGCGATGTGTGTATATGTAGTGTGTATGTGCTTGTGGCATGTGCATGCAATGTGTGCGTGTTTGCAGGAGGGGCTGTGTGTGTGTGCACTGACAAGTCTGCAGTGCACACGGCCCCGCAGAGGCCCCCCCCACTGGGTCTCTCCAGCCCTGGCGTCACCCAGCACCGGGGCTGGATCCGCGCAGCAGCGTGGGACCCGGGCGTGTTCCCGGTGCGTCCCCCCCACCCCATTAATCCCTCGCTCTGTCCTGGCAGTCCTCGTGGCCGGTGGCATCGTGGCAGTGGCAGGGAAGTTCAAGTGCTGGCCGTTCGCTGCTTATTCCATGTATCCTTCCCCAGACCCACAGGCCCCGGACGGGTCAGATCCTGGCCTGGAGGGGCTGGGGATAGCCCCAGGCTGGTGCTCGGGTCATGGGCGCTGCCAGGAGGTCCCATGTGGGCAGGGTTGGGTGGCACAAGTCTGCTTCAGCCCCTCGTGGCATCAGGGGCAGGGGCTGCTCTGGAGCCCAGGGTATTTAGGCACAGAGAGGCTCCATCTTCCTTAACCAGCCCTGCAGCGTGGCTGGTGTCCTGATCTGCCTGCTGGAGTATCCCCGCGGGAGGCGGAAAAAGGGCTCCACCATGGAGCGCTGGTGAGTGCGCCTGGGCCCCGGGAAGGGTCCCGGGCAGGGTCAGGGGGCTGCAGGCTGAGGGGGCGAGGGCCGCGGGGTATGCCAGGGAAGCTCATGCCTTTCTGCCCCCCCTCTCGCCGGCCCCGCGCAGGGGCCAGAAGTACATGACGGCCGTGGTGAAGGTGTTCGGGCCGCTCACGAGGAACTACTACGTCCGGGCCATCCTGCACGCCGCGTGAGTCGTGCCAGTTAGCTCCTGTGCACGCTTGTGTGTGTGCGCATGTGCAGCTCCCCTGTGTGCACGCAAAGATGTGCTTCTGCAGGTCTTGTCTGTGTGTGCATGTGTGCAGCTCTGTGTGTTTGTGTGCATGTGCAGCTCTTGCATGTGTGCTGTTGTCCGGGTGCACTGTGTGCATGAGCTTCTCTGCGTGTGCGTGTCCAGCTCCCATGTGTGTGTGTGTGCGCACAGGTGTGCAGATCCTCTGTGTATGTTTGTGCATGTGTAGGTCCTCTGCAAGTGCATGTCTGGCTCCTCTGTGCATGTGTAGGCTGTGGGCATGTGCCCATGTGTGCGTGCATGTGTTCCTATGTGTGCTCTTGTGTGGGTGTTGTGTGTGCAGGTGCACAGCTCCTCTGTGTGTGTGTGTGCGCACACATGCGTGCATGAGCCTATGTGTGCTCCTGTGTGTGTGTGCTCGTGGCTGGGTGTTGTGTGCGTAGGTGTGCAGCTCCTCTGTATGTGTATGTGCACGCACAGCTCCTTTGCATGTGCCTGTGCATGCTACTGTGCATGTGTGCTCTTGTCTGGGTGTTGTGTGTGCAGGTGTGCAGCTCCTCTGTATGTGTATGTGCATGCACAGCTCCTTTGCATGTGCCTGTGTGTGCTCCTGTGCATGTATGCTTTTGTCTGGGTGTTGTGTGTGCAGGTGCGCAGCTCCTCTGTATGTGTATGTGCATGCACAGCTCCTTTGCATGTGCCTGTGTGTGCTCCTGTGCATGTGTGCTTTTGTCTGGGTGTTGTGTGTGCAGGTGCGCAGCTCCTCTGTATGTGTATGTGCATGCACAGCTCCTTTGCATGTGCCTGTGTGTGCTCCTGTGCATGTGTGCTTTTGTCTGGGTGTTGTGTGTGCAGGTGTGCAGCTCCTCTGTATGTGTATATGCATGCACAGCTCCTTTGCATGTGCCTGTGTGTGCTCCTGTGCATGTGTGCTTTTGTCTGGGTGTTGTGTGTGCAGGTGCGCAGCTCCTCTGTATGTGTGTGCACATGCACAGCTCCTTTGCATGTGCTTGTGTGTGGTCCTGTGAATGTGTGCTCTTGTCTGGGTGTTGTGCGTGTAGGTGTGCAGCTCCTCCATGCGTGTGTGTGCATGCACAGCTCCTCTGCAAGTGCGGGGACAGCTCGTGTATGTGTGTCAGCACACACGCATGCTCTTGTTTGTGTGCAGGTGCATGTGTGCAGCTCCTCTCTTCGAGTGTGGGTGCAGCTCTTGCAGGTGTGCGTGGGCAGCTCCTGTGACACTGCCCTCCCTGCTCCCAGCCTGCAGCAAGGCCAGCCTGTGCTGTGCTGGGCTCCTGCTGTCCACGTGGCAGCGTGGCCCTGGCACGGCAGGGCTCAGCAGACGCCCGGCTTCCTGCCCTTCACCTCCCTGGCACCTTGTGTTCACACCCGCGGTAACCGGTGTTTCCCCCAGAGGTGGCTGCATTTCAGCACTGCTGCATACGCTGCTGGCAGCCTTCGTCGCGCCCGGGCTGCGCATTACCTGCAAACCTTGGCTCTCCGTGTCTGTGCGTTACCTATGAGCCTTTGCTCCCTCCTGCCCATGTATTACCCTTTGCTCCCCTGGCCATACATGCACATGAGCCTTCGCTCTTCCACCCATGCATACCCCCACCCACGCTTGCCCCTAGCCCGCAGGTCCGTGCGCAGCTCCTGCCTGAGCCCAGCACCTCTCTCGTCCTCCCAGCCTCGCTGTCCCAGCCGGCTTCCTCCTGGCCACGATCCTGGGCACGGCCTGCCTCTTTATCGCCAGCGCCATCTACTTACTGGTAGGTCCATGGGCAGCCGGAGATGCAGCTGGGCTTGCTTTGGTTGCCTTCCAGGCTGCTGGTACGGCAGGTCCCAGGCACTGCCTCCCTCCCCACCCACCTTTTCCACGGTGCCAGCAGAGAATGGCTGCACGAGGGCTTGCCGCGGCACAGGGACTCAACATTACCTGCCCTGAGAGTGGGTGCATGAGGGTGGGTGGGAAGGGGTGCACCCTTTCCCTGGTTGGGGTGGGGTTGCAACCTCTCCGCTAACCCCCTCGGGCTCTTCCGCAGGCCGCCGTGCGGGGTGAGGAGTGGCAGCCCATCGAGCAGAAGCCCCGGGAGCGCCCGCAGGTGGGGACCACCATCAAGCAGCCCCCGGCCAACCCCCCGCCCCGGCCGCCCCCGGACGCCCGCAAGAAGCTGCCGGCCGAGGCCGAAGGAGCTGTCCCTGCCGCTGTCCCTGCCCCAGCGCTGGCAGAGTGATGCGTCTCCCCGGGGCCCTGCCTTGAGCATCCTCCATGCTGCCTGCAGTCGTGACCTCTGCCCCAGCCGGCTTCCCCCTGCCCCCAGTGCTCCCAGCTCGGCCCCTCTCAGGGCAGCCTACCCCCTTTTGTACTGGCCTCTTTTATACCATAATAAACCAGTGAAGGACGGTGTGGGCTGGGCTCCTGGTGCTGGATTGGGGGGGAAGGTGCATTTGCTCTCTGGGGGGCCTTGCATGCCTTGCATGCAGCCCCTGGCTGGGCCCCAGCTTCGCCCAGCCATCACCCACCTCCGTCTCGGTCACAAACTCCTGCAAGACCGTTTTAGGCTGGACATAAGGAAAAACTTCTTTGCCGTCCAAGCCCCCCAGGCCTGGAACAAATGCCCCCCAGAAGTGGTGCAAGCACCTACTCCGGACACTTTCAAGAAACATTTGGACATTTATCGTGTTGGGGTGACTGACTTCCAGCTGACTCCCTGCCCCTGGGGCCGAGGGCTGCGCCCGATGATCGCGGGAGGTCCCTTCCAGCCCGAATGTCTATGAAATCTCCCCCCTGGCGTGCGGGGTGCAGCAGGATGGGGGTGGGGTGCAGCCTCCTGCTCTGGATGTCAAGGTCCTGGGTTCAAGTCCTGCTGCCAGTGAGCAGTGCACAGCTCTGGGCTCTTCTGTTGGGGGTCCTGAGAGCTTGGGAGTGGGGGGGCTGGGCCCTGATCCCCGCCAGCCCCCATGGGCCAAGTATAACGGGGGTGGGCAGGGAGGAGGCAGAGCCATGGCTGGGCTCCATGTCCTGCAGTGCCCAGCTCTGCCCCGCAGGGGGTGCTGCAGGCCGGCCTGGGGCCCGGCGGGGGGGGGGGGGGGGGGGGGATAGACCTGTGTGTGTGTGTGTGTGTGTGCGCGCGCGCTCGCACGCATGTATAGAAATGGGGATGTAGAGCAATCTGTGTATATAAAAATTTGTGCAATTACGTGTGTGTATAAAAATGTGAATGCTATCTATGCGTGTGTGTAGAGCGATCGGTGCACACATCTGTGTGTATAAAAATGTGTGTGCAATTATTACATGTGTGTAGATAGATCTATGCATATGTGTGTACAAAAGTGTGAAAAGTCATATTTGTAGCTAGATCGATTTGCGCACACATACATTTTTATACACACACACACACACACACTATGCACACACCAGTGTGTGTATAAAATGCGTGCAATTAGGTATGTGTGTAGATCGATCGGTGCACACCTCTACGCGTGCCAAAATGTGTGTGCAATTATGTGTATTAAAAGGTGTGTACAATGTCATGTGTGTAGATGGCGCTATGCATACATTTTTTGTGTGTGTGTGTATATGTAAAATGTGTGTGCAAGTATATGTGTATGCACACATTTGTGTGTGTATAAAACGTATGTGAAATTAAGTGTGTGTGTGTGTGTGTGTGTAAATATTGTGTATAAATACCCGTGTGCAGCGCTATCTAGGCAGACGAGGTTCTTTGGGTGAATCGGCGAGCTTTTATTACACCCACTTCACTAGTCGGAAAAAACATCTTTTAGCCAGCTTTTGGGTTAAAAAAACCCCTTGTCGAGCTGAGGCAGCCTCTGCAGCTGGTGCGCGCTCTTCCTCTTCGTTCCATCCTTAGACCAACACGGCGACAACGTACACCCCTAGATCGGTCTATGCACACGTGTCTGTGTATAAAATTGTGTGTGCCGTTATGTGTGTGTATTAAAAGGTGTGTGCCATTACCTTTTGGTATAAAAGGTGTGTGTAGATGGAGCTATGCACACATCTGTCTGTGTGTGTATGTATATAAAATATGTGTACCATGACCTATGTGTGTGTCTAGAGCTATGCACGCATCTGAGTGTGTGTATAAAATGTATGTGCAATTACATGTTTGTGTGAGTGTGTGTATATAAATATAAATGTTTGTAAGCGTGTGTGCGTGTATTTGGAAGCGGGGTAGGGGGACAGTGCCCCTGCCTGTGCAGCCTGGCTAGGCCAGTGGGGCTGGGGGCATCCTGCAGACCAGCCTTTGGGGTGGACGGGGGGCCAGACCCCCCCCAATTCTGCATGTGCCTGGTTGCGCCAACCCTCTCCCTCCACCACTGCCCTGATGGGACCTGCAAACTGGGCACAGCATAGGGCACCCATCAGCCGTGCCCACCCCCGGCTCTGCCACTCTTGTGCACTGGGAAGCGGGCTCAGGAGCTGCGTCTCCCCGGTCCCCCCAGAAGACAAAGCAGGTAGACACGTGCTCCGGCACAGCCAGACTTTATTGGGTGGCAGCACAATAAATAGCTGGGGGGGGAGAGCATAAATAACAATAATAATATGAATAATTATTAATAATAATTAAGGGCTTTACATATGAGCATCAGGCTCACAGCAGCAGGCTTACACACACATGTGTGCACACACATGCACAGCAGCAAGGGCTGGAATAACTAGTCAGGCTGAGGACCGAGGCAGGACACACGTGCCTGGGACTCAGCACTGGCCTCTTGCTGCCATGGGCCTGGGCAGCCTGGCTGGATCCAACATAAATAATTCATAAATAACACAGGCAAATAAATACATAGCTGG